CACGAAGGCGTTGGACGTCCTTCCTGTTGAACACGAAGGCGTTGGACTTCCTTCCATGAAGTGCTCGTGCTCGTGCAGAGCGTGATGTGAAAGAGCTGTCTCCAACGTTTTAGGGAGTACAGTTCGGCTGAATGCTGGTGGCTGAAGTTATGAATGTCTGACCTCACTACTCCTTCTTTGTCCCTCCTACTCTTTCTTCTCTTCTTCCTCCACCCATCCAAACAGCGCCACCCCCTTCCCATCTCCACCTCCCCTCCATCGACTTCTCATGTATGCATCTGCAGAAAGAAGGTCAGGGTAAGTGGTTCTGTCTGCGCGACCGTCTGCTCATCCCTGCAGTCAAGACCTTAAACTTGTTGCATGTCAGCAGGTCTTCACTGACTACTAACTGAACTTCTCGGAGCTTTGTGTCCTCATCTTGTTTTTACTCGAGCTGCTTGTTGTTCCCTCTGCTCTTGTTTTCAGGTGGAGGTTACAGGTGAAGTTAATGTCCCGCTGCAGCTTCATGGAAACATTCTGATTTGATCTTCTCCCTCCTCTTCTCAGATCCTGTTCCAGCTTTCAAATCGTGGCGGGACGACAGCGAGAGCGGCGAGGCCCAGCTCTCCCCACTCGCTGGTCGGATGGTTCCTCTCCCCCTGCTGCCCCTGGAGGACGACGGTGAGGAGGACGTCAGGGAGGGGGGGCAGGTTGACTCCCCTTCCTCCTCACGCACTCATCCTCACATCCTGGCACGGCGCTTCCTGGACTTTGGAGCGCACAGCACCCAGCGTTTCCTGCAGCAGGACCCAGACACCTCCTCTCCCACTAAAGCACCGAGGTACGGTGAACCTCGGAGGTCCTGGTGGTTCTGATCTTGTGCTGTTTTAAAGATTAGAACCATTTCCTGTCTGTTGATTCATACGTACGTCCTCAGGCCGAGGAGAGCCTCGTTTGGCTCAAGAGAGGCCATGAAAGGAGACTCAGTCGCCCATCAGCTCACCAAGAAGCTCCAGCATCTGAAGAAGAAGATCAAACAGTTTGAGGAGCAGTTTGAGAAGGAGAGGAACTACAAGGTAAAGTCAGATTTATGTTCTTGATCCTGAGTCTGATCACAGAAATGTTGTTGGTGATCCTTAGAGCCGTTATGTCCCGTCTGTTCGAGCAGTTTCAGGTCTGCATGTTTTGAAAGGCTCAGAGAGCCCAGCGTGCTCCACAGCCTGTCTTCTTCACATCGTTTGTTCAAAGAACTGAACCGAGTTATGAGTTAAACAGCAGAGAAGTTCATGAACGATTTTGGGACGAGCAACATGAAATTTAGAAACATCATCCTTCACCTCTGGAAGTCCTTTCATTAGATTCAGACCCGTCGGTCCTGACACTGTATCGTTGAGCTGTTTGCAGGCCCACTCCTCTAAATCCTCCTCCCTGTGCTCTTGATGTTTGTGTGCAGCCCTCTCATGCAGACAAGGCGGCTAACCCCAAAGTCCTCAGATGGATGACGGACCTGACGAAGCTCCGCAGGCAGATCAAAGGTACGTCATCCTGTTGTTTCTGGGAACGTGCATGAGTGTGGCTCAGTTTGGCCCGGTTCTCTTGGACCCTTTGGCCCACGTCGTGCATGTAGGTGTAACAGAGCAGGCACGTTACCCATCGTTGTGCTGGTGCGTCCACATCCAGACCTGCAGGGTCAGTGAGGTGAAGCTCAAAGTGAGAGGAGCTTCGTGTCTGTCGTTGTCGATAAAGTTTGATTTGAATCAAAGTTTCACCGGACTGAGTTCAGCCTCAGGACGCTCGTCCACCTCCAGGACTGAATGTCTCTGTTTCTCATCCAAACTGACTCGAACAATAACGCGAGCACCCGCTCTCCACTTTCCTCCCTCTGTTGCCCAACGACTGATTGATTGATTGATTGATTGATTGGCCAACCAGGACGCCAGCACCAGCTTTTACCCAGAGGCACGCTGAGGCACCAGGCTTTGCTCCATTCACACAGATGCCACCCTGCTCCCTCCCCCTCCTCCTCCTCTGTCTGCTCACCCCCTCATCACACCCCCACCCACCCGCTCCACCCCTCAGGCCTGAGCTCTAGACCGTTTGACCTCAGTAAGTACAACCCCCCCAGTAAGTAGACTTTACAAACATACTAACAGTCTCAGACAGGGGGGGCTGCTGCTCAGATGGCATGCTGCCCGGGGATGAGTAACGTTGGGGGGGGTCATAACACTGAGGTGTCAATTTTATTGATTGATTGATTGATGGACCCGCTGAGTTCTTGTTCGTTTCTTCTGGATTTGTTCACGTCTGACAAATCACTGCATCTTCAGCTGCGTCTGAACTCCGTCCTCTCCGCTCTTTGTTTCTCGTCCACCCCCCCAGATGCCAAACATGGTGCGGACAGCGAGCTCGGCCCGCAGACCCGGCCCCGGAGCAACACTCTGCCCAAAAGCTTCGGGTCCACGTTGGATCACGGCTCCCACGATGCCGAGCTCAAAGGTCCCCGTCCCACCAGGGAGGAGACGCTGGAGCTCATTGAGCAGAGGGTCCAAGGGAAGAGACGGGAGGACGGCTGGCCCGATGACGTCAAGGTGCACGCCTGTTGTTAAACTGGTGAAAGTTAACTGAGATGATCGGGTGACAGCAGGAGGAGGTGTCAGCGGTTCATGTGAACATGTGCCGCTGGTCCGAACCCTGAATCTCAACGTTCTGTGATGTTCCATGTTACTGATGTAAAACACGAGTCAGCGACTTGTTAAAGTTCGTTGTTTAAACACGAGAAATGGGACAAATGTCTCCGTGTGTTTGCAGAAGATGACCAAAGAGCAGCTGTCCTGTGAGAAGACGGTCCTCCAGAAGAACCTGCTGCACTACGAAGGCCTGCACGGCCGACCCGTAAGTTGGCGCTCGTCCTTCACCTGCACCTCCGTCTGCCTGGACTCAAACCTTTACCTGTCTGCAGGTGACCCGGGAGGAGCGTCTGGGGGTGAAGCCGCTCTACGATCGCTACCGGCTGGTGAAGCAGGCGCTCACCAGAGTCTGCATCACGCCCGTCACCGTGAGGAACGACACACGGCTCCGTTTGATCGCTCAGCACGACCCGTTTCATCTCACCTTGCTTCTGCCGCAGGTGTCCCCTTCCAGTAAGAGGCGGAGCCAAACCCTGCAGCCAATCATCGAGGGTGAAACCGCTCACTTCTGGGAGGAGATCAAAGAAGAGGAGGAGGAAGAGGAGGAGAAGGAGCGGAAGGGTGGAGAAGAGGAGGAACGAGACGAAGAGAGGGATGAGGAGGAAGAAGAGGAGGAAGAGGGAGAGAGCAGCGGCGGAGAGATGCAGATCTCTGAGGTCATCATGGCCTTCGATGCCGTGACCCCGACGGGCGGCTCGGCGAGGAACCGACCTGACGAGAGGAGCAAGATGGAGGAGGGCTCAGGGAGGCTGGCTCTGGACCTGCGCCTGTCCAGCTCCAACGCATCGTCCATGTAAGACCACAGACCCCCCATCAGTCACCACACTTCATCAGTTCACTACATAACTACATCTCCCATCATCCTCTAGGCCAGAGCTGCTGGAGCAGCTGTGGAAGACCAGAACAGAGAAGAAGAAACTGAGGAAGACCATCCGGGCGTTCGAGGAAGATTTTTATCAGCATAATGGAAGGTAGGAGGAGCCTTGTTGTCCAGGTGTCACTCAAACGTTGACAACAACTTCTGTACAACCACTGAGAAGGAAACACGAGCCGAACGTTGGTCAACGAGCTGCGACTCGGCTCCGATCACTTCTAAAGGCAACTCTGATCAAAGAAAAATAATCTTTAAAATCAAAAACGAACCAGTTCCACACGGTGGACAAAGTTCAATGTTTGTAAAGTATCAAAGCTGCAGGAGCTGAACGTTCTGATAAACGAGCAGCTAAAGTAACGGCTCAGTATTCAAGATGTTCTCTCTCCTGCAGGAACGTTCAGAAGGAGGACCGGGTGCCGATGCTCGAGGAGTACAGGGAGTACAAGAGGATCAAGGCCAAGCTGCGCCTCCTGGAGGTCCTCATCAGCAAACAGGACTCCTCCAAGTCCATCTAGCTGCTCTTCAGCCCCGCTGCGAGCCCAACGTTTGACCCCCCCCCCCCACCTCCTGCCCTGACGCCTCCAGTGGAACTTTGGTTTTTACCCACAGTCTGTTTTAAAACGTATTTCAGAGCAGTTGGAGCCTCGGCCTTCACGTGTCGTCGCGTGTCACAGCTGGATGTTTCCGTGGGAACCACAGTTTGATTGTGGACTTTTTTACCGAGGCGTGTCACCGAACAGGACCGGATCTGACGTTTGGGTCGTTCCTGCTTGGTGGAAAGTGGAAACTTCTCTTCACGAACGGTGAAGTCCTCAGAACACGTGAGCCTAAAAAAAGTCCACATGGGTTCTGTTTCTGCATCTTTAAAGCCCAACAAGTCCGATCGGGTCCGGCAGGAACCGGTGAGGTCACGGACCGTTTCACCTGCCAGCACTGATTTAACCATGGGGGGAGGGGCCACGATGCATTCACCTGACTTCCTGTGGCTCATCCAGCAGCTTCTCTGTTTTATGAGTTTTTGAACTGGACCGGGCGTGTCTGAGGGACGTCCTGCTCACAGCGTGACGTCGAGGTTGATGCTTCTGCAGAAGCTCTGAACGAGGATCTTCTGAAAGGAGGAGCAGCTGCTCTAGGCTGTAAAGTTTGATGTAAAAATGTTCTTTGCACAGCGTTCACAGAATGCAGCCCTTCTGTTTCCCTCCTTTGTTTTGTAGAAATAAGCACTACTTCTATACAAATATAAATATCCTGTGTGTGTATAAATGAATGTGACTTGTTGGAGTTATTTCACTCTTCAGTGTGAGAACATTGTTTGGACTGTAAGACGAGCTCGTGTAGAAGCATCTGAAGACGTCGGGTCCAGCGCGGCCACGACGAGCAGCAATAACAACAGCTAGTTCTCTCTGCTGGAAACCGAAGTGTTGTGAAAACATGAAGAGTCCAGGTTTTTTAGAAGTGGAAGAGTTTGTTGCTCGTCTTTGACGTCTCACTCGTTTGGCGGAGTGTGTTTCTGTCCGGCCTCGGCAGAGCGGTGAGTCCTCGCTGTACACGCTTTTAGTTTTGATCCGTCCACGCTGCTCCCGGACTGGAGTCGTCCTCAGAGCAGCTCCTGGAAAACAAACGTTGGATCGGTTTTTAAATCAACCAAAACACGGAGGAACAAAAACTAAGACGTGCACACATCAGCAGTTTGTTAAATAAAACGTGCACGATGTTCTGGTCGGCTGCGTCCTGCGCTCGGCTTCCTTTCAACCCGTCCAGTATTTTGTTCATGTTTGATCACTTTGGGCTTTCTGTTGTTTTTCCACTAACAAAAGAAGAAAAATCAAAAACATTTACACAAAATAAAATTGACACGCTTGCCACAGCAATTCTCTGATCTGACTTTTTATAAAATACATGAAATGTTCTGCTGAAACCAAAAGAGAAACTTTTTTAAAGTCACATTTCTGACATTTTATGATTGGGTCATTTACTGGGGATTAAATCTCCAGAATTAAAAGGTTTGAATATAAAATAATTATTTTCGATAATCCGGGTAAACCAAAGAGGACTTTAGATGTTTCACGTCTCACCATCTCCGCTTTCAGCATCAAACCGGAGTTTTTCTTGGATCCAGATTTAATTTCAGCATTTATAATATTAAAAAATATGAAGTCATTTTTTGTTGTTTTGGCTTCACCGATGTTTTAAATGCTTCATGAACATTTTACTGTAAACATGTTTGTCAGTAAACAAACATGAAGTGACTTTTTCTAATAGCCGCCTTGCTATCAGTTACAAGTTTACAGAAAAACAAGAAAAATCCTGATTCACGACACGTTTGAGAGATTTTTGATCTCCTAACCCAAGAGTTGCCTTTCATAAAAATAAAAACCCTAACCCTAATAAAAAGCTTCATCACCATCGTGTTGAGCTGCTAAACATCAGAAAACTTTAAAATCAGGAGCTGATGTTGGGTTTGTTTCAAATTCATAAATACAGACATTAAAGACCCGCTTTCTCATTTAAACAGTAATTTTATTTTATTTATTTCCATTTACAGCTAATGTCATTTAAAACAACTTATTGAATTTAAATTCATATAAACTATATTCTCCTTGAATTGCCACCGCATCGTGGTGGAGGACTTTGTGCACCTAGGAGCTCTGCTGTCAGGGGCTATTTTAATTGCCTCTGGTAGGATCTCAAGGCAGACTGGTCCTAGGTGACAGGCCAGACAAAGAGCGATTCAGAAGACTTTTGATGGACAATATACATAAAGGAACTCTGTGGCCCTTGCTCAGACGTGGGTTACCGGAGCCCCACCCTGGAGCCAGGCCTGGGGGAGGGGCTCATTGGCAAGCGCCTGGTGACCGGGTCTCTACCCATGGGGCCTGGTCGGGCTCAGCCTGAATGAGCAACGTGGGTTTGCCTTCCTGTGGGTCCACCACCTGCAGGAAGGGGCACAAAAGCAGAGTGCATGTTGCCATGGGCAGTGACCAAAGGCATGGACCATGGCGTTCTGACCCTGGTTTATCAAAGCTGGCTTTTGGAACATGGAATATAACCTCAATGGCAAGGAAGTAGCCTGAGCTTGTGTGTGAGATTAAGAGGTGCCATCACTGACTAGATATAGTTGGGCTCACCTCGATGCACAGCATGGACTCTGGAACTGATCTCCTTGAGAGGGGCTGGACTTTATTCCACTCTGGAGGTGCCCATGGTGAGAGGCACTGAGCTGGTGTGGGTCTACTTGTAGCCCCCTGACTTGGTGCCTGTGTGTTGGAGTTTTCCCCGGTGGATGAGAGGGGAGCTTCCCTGCACCTTAGGGTGGGGGGGACAGGCTCTTGACTTGTTTGTGCCTATGCACCAAACGGCAGTTCAGAGTATACGACCTTCTTGGAATCCTTGGCAGGAGTGCTGGAAAGTACACCAGCTGGGAACTCCTTTATTTTGCTGGAGGACTTCAATGCCCATGTCGGTAACGACAGTGTGACCTGGAGGGGCGTGACTGGGAGGAACAGCCGCTCTGATCTGAACTCAGTGTTCTGTTGTTGGACTTCTGTGCTAGTCATAGTTAATGCATCACAAACACCATGTTCAAACATAAGGGTGTCCATAAGTGCAATTGGCACCAGGACACCCTAGGTCATAGATCGATGATCAACTTTGTAGTCGTGTCATCTGATTTGTGGCTGTTTGTTTTGGACACTCGGGTGAAGAGAGGAGCTGAGCTGTCAACTGATCACCACCTGGTAGTGAGTTGGATCAGATGGCGGGGGGAAATGCCGGACTGCCCCGGTAGACCTAAATGTATAGTGTATAGTGAGGGTTTGCTGGGAACGCATGGCAGAAGAACCTGTCAGAAAGATCTTCAACTCACACCTCTAGGAAAGTTTTAACCGCATCCCAGCTGAGGTGGGGGACATCGAGTCCAAGTGAGCCATGTTCCACGACTCACTTGTTGAAGTGGCTGCCTTGAGCTGTGGCCACAAGGTTGATGGTGCTTCTTGCTGTGGCCATCCTCAAACTTGGTGGTGGACACCCTGGGTTAGGGAGGCTGTCGAGCTGAAAAAGGAGTCCTATCGGTCCTTGTTGGCTGGTGGGACTCTGGAGGCATCTGAGGAGTACCAGAGGGCCAACCAGTCCACAGCCTTGGCTGTTGCTGAGGCAAAAGCTCTGATGTAGGGGGAGTTTGGTAAGGCCTTGGATAAAGACTCGGTCAGTTCTGAGGGGATTCTGGCAAACCATCAGGCAGCCATGGAGGGGAAAGCAGCACTTTACTAATATTGTGTTCAGAGAAGGCGGGGTGATGTTGAACTCAACGAGTGATGTCATCGGGAGGTGGAAGGAATACTTCTTGGACCTTCTCAATCCCACGGACATGTCTTCCATGGAGGAAGTGGAATCGGGGGACTTTGCGTTTAGTCTGTCCATAACTGTGGCTGAGGTAGTTAAAAAGCTACGTGGTGGCAGGGCTCCGGGGGTGGATGAGATTTGCCCTGATTTCCTTAAGGCTCTGGATGTTGTGGGGCTGTCAGGGGAATCACTCTCCTTAGCCTCCCTGGTAAGGTCTATTCAGGGGTACTGGAGAAGCGAGTCCGATTGTTGGTCGAACCTTAGATCCAGGAGGAACAATGTGGGTTCCGTCCTGGCCATGGAACACTGAACCAGCTCTTTATCTTAGGGTCCTTGAGGGGTCATGGGAGTTTGCCCATCCAGTCTACATGTGTTTTGTAGACTTGGAGAAGGCATTCAACCGTGTCCCTCGGAGTACACTGTGAGGGGGGCTCCGTGAATATGGGATTGGGGGCCCGCTGTTACAGGCTGTTTGATCCCTATACAAGCGGTGCGAGTTTGGTTCTCATTGCCAGTAGTAAGTTGGACACCTTCAGGGTGGTAGTTGGACTCTGCCAGAGCTTCCCGTTGTCACCGATTCTGTACATAACTTTTATGGACAGGATTTCTTGGTGAAGCCAGGGGACGGAGGAATTCTGGTTCAGTGGCCTCAGGTTTCCATCTCTTATCTTTGCAGATGATGTGGTGTGAGATTGACAGACTCATTGGTGCAGCATCTGCAGTATTGCTGACTCTGTACCAGTTCGTTGTGGTGAAGAGAGAGCTGAACTGTAAGACAAATCTCTGTGTTTACTGGTCGGTCTACGTTCCTACCCTCACCTATGGTCACGAGCTCTGGGTAGTGACTGAAAGAATGACATTGTGGATTCAGGCAGTTGAAATGAGTTTGCAGGGTAGCTGGACTCTTTCTTTAAGATGAGGTGAGAAGATCAGTTATCAGAAGAGACTCTGAGTAGAACCTCTGCTCTTCCACATTGAGAGGAACCAGTTGCTGTGATTCAGGCATCTGGTAAGGATGCCCCCTTGGATTTAGCAAAGCATTTATTAAAACTATACAATCATTATATTACCAACCCACAGCTAGGATAAAAATTAATGGGAATCTTTCAAATACTTTTCCATTACAACGAGGGTGCCGCCAAGGCTATTCCATTAGCGCACTCCTATTCGCATTATAGTTGGAACCTCTAAGTTAATGGATAAAACAGAATGAAAATATAAAGCGTACATGCATGGAGGGAGAGGAACAAAATATAGCATTATTTGCAGATGTATTGATTTACTTATCACAACCAGGCAAGTCACTTCCAGCACTAATGAACACAGTGGATGAGTTTGGTCTGCTGTCGGGCTACAAATTAAACACAAAGAAAACCCAAGTCCTCACCTTCAATTATGAACCGGTTAATCAATTAAGTAAGGAAAAATTTTGATGGGTATCAGATTCAAAATCTCTGGATTACCTCGGAGTAGTTCTGTCTCAAGATTTATCTGAATTAAAATCTATACATTTTAGCCCTTTAGTGTCTAGAATACAATTGAATATGAGAAGGTGGAGTTTGGTTCCCTTTACAAGTCTAACGTCAAGAGTAGAAATGATTAAAACAATTGTCTTACAAAGATTACTCTTTATTTACAACTCTCCCAGTTCAAGTGAAAGATAAAGACTGCAGAATAGGATAAAATTATTTTGAGATTCATATGGCAATGACGAAGACCACGGATTAAATTTAGAACCTTACAGTTATCCAAGGATCGAGGGGAGTTAGCCTTACCCTGCCTTAAGAGCTATTATTCTGCAGCACAGCTAAAAATTCTACTGATGCAATCCACATATGCAAACATGCAAAATGGGAGTGGTGGCGCAGAGGTTAGAGAAGATGGGACTGTGATTGGAAGATCGCTGGTTCAAACCCCGATACCAACATCATCCAAAATGTGGGTGGGGTAGGTGAAGCACTCACACCTGCCCCCACCCTCATTCGCCCCACTCTGGGCCCTTGAACAAGGCCCTAAACCCCCACCATGTGCTCCCGAAACAGGTCTCTCTTGAAAATTAGTTCTCGTGGCTCAATGAGACGACCTGGATAAATAAAGTCTCAATGAAAAAAAAAATCCATCATACGCAGCAAAATGGAAAGATATAGAATGTGCTATGTCACCCACGATACCACTACAAGCCATAATAAATGATAATGAATTGAAAATGCACAGTAGGGAGGAGTCAAATCCATGCTTGGGCTTATCCCTTGACATATGGAATGAGATTATATCAAAATTTGGCTCGACAGAACAGAGTAAAATACTGAGTTGGATTGCACATGAATCGGATTTTAAGCCAAATGTAACAGACAAAACATTCAGTAATTGGGAAAAGGGTCTGAAGATATTCTGGGAGCTGGTTAAGAAAAATAATATACACAGCTTTGAGGAAATAAAGAACAAATATGGTTTAAACAAAAAGGATTTATTCACGTACTTGCAATTGAGGCAATATAGTGAGGAACTAATAAAGAAGAT